TTGTTGTTATATGATTTTTTTGGCCTACATGCACTTTGGACAGACTTTAGTTAAAACAAACATGGCTGACAAAGCGGAATCACCTTAAGCAAAGGCTATAGATATATATCATGACAACAACAGAAACTTTGATCTGCAGTTTGAACATGAAGTGTAATGTTTTTTTATGAATGGTTTAAAAGCAATTCAACAAAAAAATATATATTGATCTCCCTAAAAATTAATTAACAATAGTTTTTGTTATATATCACCAATGTCAAATAGCTTCCATATCTTTGTCTCGCACGAATATGGTATTAGTGAATTTCCTCATCCCTACCTAACATTCAGGTAACAGTCTTCTATTATATTGATAAAGACTGTATCACCATGAAACGCTTGTATAACAAACAAAAAAAATCCTGAATTTGGTCTTTTGGAAATTCATCCCATTTTTTCATTCCAGCGTGTGTTCTACTTTCAGTATTGAAAGAAACCATTTTTTTAAATTTGACATGAAAAATATGCATGTAATATTACTATATTATAATATTAGTCCCTTTTGTTACTATTTGTATATTTGTTACAATTATAACAGACTTTGATATTTCTATCATCTATGTTCTGTTACTGAAACAGAACACAGTACAGTCATGTCACATAACATTTACAAGTCTTGTAAGCCTTGTTTGTATTCAATGGAATTACTTTCCTTACCAGGTAGGCATCAGTGAAAGCATTTTTTATACTAAATATTTTTCCCCTCTTTTTTTTTTATGGACAGTGCATAAGATAAGTATAATTATGCAAAAAATGGTTTACAAAACATTCGGAAAAAATCTACAATAGTACTTAATCTGAATATAACATGACCTGTGCGTAGGAATAATTTGGTAAGGTATCTGTAATGAGCACATATTTTTGCGCGGAGCCTCTCAATTGCTGCATTGCAGCAACATTTGTACTTGTATATAATTGTTTTTGATCATGCAACGGATTCATGTATACAGTAAGACCTGTGCAGAACAAACACCCTTTTAGAAGAAAAATATGTTGAACGTTTCTGAGAAATATTGCTCTACAGAGGTTAAATTTATCATTGAATCTCAGTTTGGGAAGATTGTATTCTATTATCATTAAGGTTTCATTGCCGGCTCTACAGAAGGCCACCATGAAGAGGTTACACTGTATATGTAAAACAGTACAGACTAATTGCCCAATTTTTAAGTTTGCTTTTTTAAAACGTGTGTATGTTTCATTAAAATCATGTTTCAAAAAGGAGGAGATAAAGACAAATATTTAAAGATGTTTAAATTTCATACTCGATTTTATCGAGTCTGTTTTAAGCGCCTTTTACGCTCCCTAGCACCGATGTAAACTGTTTTTAATGCCCAACTTGCACAGTATTGAAATCAAAGACACTTAAATATATTCATTAAAATAATTTTATTTCATTTTATATTGATAAGCACACGTCCTCTTAATTAAAACACATTTTTAATTGCAGCCATTAAAAATAATTGTTGATTAAAATGATTGATTACCATTTATTTCTACGTAAAACATGGCATTTTGTTATAAAGTAAAGCCAGTGATATATAAGTTGTCGGCTGTAACAAAGTAAGGACTTTGAATAAAGAAGTCATATACGAAACAATTATCAGTTTGATAAAAAATTCATGACTAATTTCCAAATAAAATTAAAACTTTGAATTGGTTTCAGCATTCATATACTTTAGGTGAAAACCCATTAAATGCATCGATTGTAGTTTTTTTTAAATATTTTTATTGTCATACCCGTGGTAGATACATTTACTCATTTAGTTAATACGAGCTGCCTTTGTTATATGTTTGCCGTTTTAATTACATTAATACCGTTAAAATTACTTATGTACCGTTTCTGTTACATTTTGTACCTTTTAATTACACCGTTTTAGTTACAATAGTGTCGTTTTAGCTATATAAATGTATGTAACATTTAAGTTGCATATGTATCGTTTTTGTCACAAATGCGCCGTTTAAACTATATATAAACAATTTCAGTTGCATTTGTACCATTGTAGTGACAAATATACCGTTTTCGCTACATATGAATCATTTTAGTTACATATATACCGTTTTAATTACATAAATACCGTAAAATTACTTATGTACCGTTTATGTTACATCTGGACCCCTTAATTACATATTACAATTGTGCCGCTTTAGCTACATATGTACAATTTAATTGCATATGTGTCGTTTTAGTTACAAATATACCTTTTAAGTTGATATGTGCATTCGCGATTTTATATGTACCGTTTCAGTTACATATGTTCAGTTTATCCTTTTGTGAATATCAACCGTTTAAGATAAATATGTACCGTTTGTGTTACAAATGTACCTTCAGTTGCATATATACCGTTTTAGATACATAAGTGTTGTTTAAGTAGCATATAGGCCGTTTATACTACATGTACTACATAAGTGTCGTTTTAGCTATATTTGTGCCGTTTATACTACATAAATGTCGTTTTAGCTACATATCTACCGTTTAAGTTACATATATGCCGTTTCTGATACATGTATACCGTTTAAATTAATATGTACATTCATAATTCTATATGTACTTTCAGTTTCACATGTACCGTTTTAGTTAGATATATATATAGTTTTCCTCTTTGTACATATGTTCCGTTTTAGTTTCAAATGTAACGTTTGAGTTAAATATGTACCGTTTTGTTTAAGCAACATATGGGCCTTTTATATTACATAAGTGTCGTTTTAGTTATATGTATAACGTTTTAGCTATACATCTATCGTTTTAGTCACACATTTACCAGTTTAGTTACATATATAACTTTTTTCCCTTTAATATATGAAGATATAAAGCGCTTTAGCTACAAATATACCGTTTAAAATTACATAGTTACATATGCGCGGTTTTAATTACATATGTACAGTATAAATGAGATCTTCTTTACGTATTAATTGATATGACCTTATAATTTCATACATACAATTACATTATACGTCCTTAACATTTTTTTTAATGCGTTGATTTAAGGTCGCCGCCGGAAAGTCCATATGGGCGACCGTACACTCATGTCGGGCCATCCTAGAGCGTCCCGCCGAGATTTTTTCGTCGATTTCTTTCCAGCTTTTATTGGTGGAGGAAGACCCCAGGTGCCCCTCCGGGCATTATTTCAGGCACGAGCGGGCACCCGGGTAGAACCACCGACCTGTCGCAAGCCAGCTGGATGGCTTCCTCACATGAAAGATTTCGACCCAAGTGAGGATCGAGCCTACAGTGGTGAGAGACCAGTGATCTCAAGTCGGCAACCTTAACCACTCAGCCACGGAGTCCTTAACAGAAAAATAAGAATTATTTCATATTCTTTCCAAAACACATATTTTATTTATAAATAAATTTGCATGTTATCAGAACTTCAGTAAGACCATACTTCAATGTACATATATGATTTGTTAAAGATCCTTTAACATACAATTTTTATAGTTATATCATAAATATGATGCTCAAATGAAGATTTAGTTAGTTCCAAAAAGCATTATTTGTTAAGAAATTTACATTTCATGTACATAAAGGGAGATAATTAGAAATTTTATTTGCTATAAAGTCTAAGCCAAATTTTCAATTAGAAATGAATGCATATATTCTAAAGATTACTTATAATGCGTATAAACATTTTCAGTACATATTTAACATATTCTTGGATGTTTGGAAATTATTATATAGAGGATATTTGTTTGTTTGTGTGTAAGATGAAATTTTATTTCATCGAGTGGGCTTTAAAAACAGTATTCTCACGAGTGGCGTAGCCACGAGTGAGAATACTGTTTTTATAGTTCACGAGATGAAATAAAATTACATCTTACACAACAAACAAACAAATTTTCTTTTTATTTTATGCTTAAAAACAAGTTAAAACGAAATTTCCATAATTTTAACGTTAATATTAAAATCTGTTTTCCCCATTGAGAGCCCCATTTAGTCGGAATTTCTCATTAAAAACAAGAAGTCTTGAGCTGAAAAATAAGTCCGCCAATCAACGTTAAATGACGGTGATATTTATTCATTTTATTAAAAAAGTATGAATGATCGCTTGTTTTAATAATAAAAACGGACAATTCTTGTAGGAGAAAAAGTCCAACCATCCATCCATATTCCTGTTACTTACTGCGAATTTATATTAGACCTGGCTTTGTAAAATGTAAACGGCAGCCATTTTTTAAAGTTGTGTATTTCATGGGAGGAAAATAATTGTGTAAGATTCAGAAGGATATAATTTGGATTTGTTAGTCATACACCTTTTTAAAAGAAAGAAAACTTTTTTTAGGATTGTAACAGACAAAAAAACGTGTTGATAGATGTGAAAACATTCAAAAAAGGAGCTAGGAATATGACAAACTTGGAAGCTTGCTCATGGAACGCTGGGTTATTTTACTTATTTTTCGAGTGATGGCTGTCAATGCTTTTCAATTTTTCATAAAGCATACGGCAGTTATTGCTCGTAGGATACTTTAATATGCCCAAATGTCATCAAGAGCAGCTTTGCATGGGGAAGGAATGGATTTTTCAGACTGTAAAAATGAAACAAAAAAATTTAGAGACGAAATTTGGTGATTGGAATTTGAATGAATAGAAGTAAGTTTTCTTCTTTTTATTACTTTTGACATTTAAGTTATTTATCAATTTCAGCTTTGCCTTTTCTTTACACAGCCTGACATTGTCAGAATTGTCAGCAAAAATAAAATTGAGGTATCACATGGGGAAAATCTTAAAAAAGTAGTTTCGTCATTGAAAAGTGTGAAATTATATTTTGATAATTTTCACTGTGAAATTATCAAATATAATTTTCACGGATAAATCAGTAATCCACTGAAAAGCATAAAATAAAGAAGAATAATTATATACATATATAAAATTTCACTTACTAGGCGTTGTTACGTCTTTAATTACAGCATACAGGACCTTTAAAGAGAGAGATATTCTTAATTTCTTCTTCTTTTTTTGTTAACAGCTGGGGCGAAAGCTGGGGTCAGAATGGTTACATAATGATGTCACGAAACAGAAACAACCAATGTGGAATCGCATCGATGGCAACATTTCCCATCATGTAACTTTCATAGGATCATGTGTCACTTATACAGACGGCAGAAGCTTTGCAACTCATTTCAAATAATCTATATCTTAAAACATTTGCTTTCCATATCAATATCCACGATGGATCATGTTTGTTATGACGTCACTTATAGATCTTCATGATTCTGATGTCACCATTTTCTTGTTTATTTTTAGAAACCCGATGTTTTGCAAACTTACATTTCATTTGATTACCTCTTCGTTATTTGTCTTTTCTTGTGTATTTAAAAAGAATGTTGGACTCCGATCAGAAGCAAGACAGATAAGGACTTTACGCGCGAGTTGTCAAATCAATAGTCTAGAAAGAAGAAATAAAATAAATGAATACTTTTTCTTAAACCTTGCAAATTAGAGATTAGAATCTAGATGAAAATAAATGAGAAAACGATAAGTTTGGCTTTAATTTGTGCTCACACTATTATTGAAATGTGTCAAAATACAGTATTTTGCTAAATGTAATCACAAAATACACATAATGCGTACATTACTGTAATGAAAGTGAAAACGGATATAAATAATTTAATTAATTGATTCAACGCAAGGCAATTGCAAAGCAATGTCACCTTTTGGCATATGTATAGAAATTGCTAAGTATTAAGCGCTATACATTTATTTGATTTCGCTGAAAGTAAGCCGGTTCCTACTAAATCTCTTCCTTCAAATCTCGTACTATCAAACACGTTTTTTTTTTCGTTTTTTTTTTTTTTTTTTTTTTTTTTTTTTTTTGCTTTCCTCTCTGAAATAACTCTAATTAATGGCACAATAAGTTTCTACATGTAGTACATATATCATTTTCTATGCAAAGTTTACATAAATAAATGATAATGTAATTTTTAACGTGTTTTGTGTCTACATGTAACCCTGGTATACACCTTCAATAGAACTCCAATTGCCACATGTTTGTCAAAATGTTTACCACTCTATCTAACGGAATGCCGTTGCTTCTTATAATGTGCGCGCTAGTTTCCTAAGATAACGTGAGCAATGGTGGGATACTACGTCATCGCGCACCTGCGAAATGCTCGACGACGTAGTATGTATCCACTGGTGAGGTCTTTTGCCAACTATTATGCTGGAAGGTTTTCCTCTCCTTTCGATTTGAGAAACAACTACTTAATCAGACTGTCATCTTGTTTTTAAATATACAAGGGAGACTAACCCATATTCAGCTTTAACTACTTCTAAGTAGTGTTACCTCCCTTTTTAAGCAAACGCTTTTGAAAGTCCAAGTATCGGGTTATCTTATTCAATTTTAACAGTTTTAATGATTTTCCGATAAACAAATTATTCTCCTGCATAACAATGGAATACTAATATGTACTACTAAATAAGGCCAAACGGTATATGCATGAAATCAGGACTAAGTGTTCCAATTACTTTTTTTTTTCACTCTTGGTTTTAAGGTACATTATGCCTGAGAAATGCTTTCTGTTTCAATATTTCAGATAGGGTATCCGTTAAATGTTTATAAAATGGTTATAGAGCAATTTAGCTGCTCATCATTTGAAGAAAGTAACTCTGAATGTGAAATTATTTGTTTTAAAAATAGCAATATGTAAACAAGGAAGTATTTTGACTTCCATACAAAATACAAAATACCTATATTATGACTAATTACGAAAAAAATGAAACAAAAGAAAAAAAAAGTTCAGATTATTGGCCAATGAGTAGGGTTTTGGGAAAAAGCCCGGTATAACAGGACAGAAAACTTAAAAATAGTTATCAAAAATAAAAGCATTTCAGGGACATATATAAATGAAAATAAAATTGTTTCTAAGGCATAACAGTTACTGAATAAATGATTTATGCTTATTTAAAAAATAATAATGTCTGGGGAAGTAAATTCTTCAAAATGTTGCTACAATGTTACAGTTAGTTCTCTTATATTTTACAACAATACCAAATAATTAGGGCGTTCTATACAAAATTACAGATTGATCTACCACCATTTGTACTGTGATGATGGATTTAATAGGTTAAAAAGGAAGAATTTCTTTTAAAACTGGGTTTTCTCCATGAGATGTTGATAAAGTAACAGGTTAAGCTTTTATATGCGTCCAGCCGTGACTTCAAGAGTGATTTTTGTCCAAATGTACATGTTAATCTAATTTTTACCGCCCACTTAGCTCAACACTGTTTTCATAAGGTACAGCATATTCAAATGTAGCTATTTACATATATAAATAAAAGTGTTATACTAATTTACATTTGAAGTGCAATATTTGTTTGGCAAAAAAAATATAAAATATAAAATTGCCAAAACGAAATTTTAGTGTTTCGAGTATTCATCTATCTTAAAGTAGGTCATTCAATACACACATCAACTGCCTTTTTTAGATCCTTATCTATCCCTGTTTAATTTTCTTCGTCTACTTGACTGGAACTATATTTGAGTTATTTGTAACTCGGAAACAAGACATCTGACATATATTACATCATGCACTTATTAATAACTCGGAATCAAGAATTTGACCTATATTACATCATGTTGTAATTAATAACTCGGATTCAAGACATCTGACATATATTACATAATACTCTCATTAATAAATCGGAATCAATACATCTGACATATATTACATAATACTCTTATTAATAACTCGGCTTCAAGACATCTGACCTGTATTATATCATGCTCTTATATATAACTCGTAACTAGACATCTCACCTATATTACATCATGCTCTTATTTATAACTCGGATTCAAGACATCTGATCTATATTACATCATGCTCTTATTTATAACTCGAAATCAAGACATCTGACCTATATAACATCATTCTCTTATAAATTACTCGGAATCAAGACATCTGACATATATTGCATCATGCTCTTATTAATAACTCGGAAATAAGACATGTTTTTTTTATTTCATTATGCTCTTATTTATACCTCGGAATCAAGACACCTGACCTATATTACATCATGCTCTTATTATTAACTCGGAATCAAGACATCTCAGCTATGTGACATCAAGCTCTTATAAATTACTCGGAATCAAGACATATAATCTATATTATTTCATGCTCATTTAAATAACTCGGAACCAAAATATCTGACCTATATTACATCATGCTCTTATCAATAACTCGGAATCTAGACATCTGACCGAAATACTGCACCATGCTGTTATAAATTACTCGGAATCAAGACATCTGACCTATATTTTATCATGCTCTTATTAATTACTCGGAATCAAGACATCTGCATTATATTACATCATGCTGTTATGAATTACTCGAAATCTAGACATCTGACCAAAATACTACACCATGCTCCTATCAATAACTCGGAATCTAGACATCTGACCTATAATTCATCTTGCCCTTATTAATAACCCGGAATCAAAATATCTGACGTATACGACATCAAGCTCTTATTAATTACTCGGAATCTAGACATCTTATCTATAGTTCATCATGTTCTTATTAATAACCCGGAATCAAAATATTTGACCTATATTACATCATAATCTTATTAATAACATGGAATAAAATCATTTGACCTATAATATTACATCATGTTCATATCAATTACTCGGAATCAAGACATCTGACCGAAATACTACAACATGCTCTTATTTATTACTCGGAATCAAGACATCTGACCTATATTATATCATGCTCTTATTAATAGCTAGGAATCAAGACATCTGACGTATATTACATCATGCTCTTATTATTGACTCGGAATCTAGACATCTGACCTATATTACATCATGTTCTTATTTATAAATCCGATTCAAGACATCTGATCTATATTACATCATGCCCTTATAAATAACCAGGAATCAAGACATCTGACCTATATAACATTATGCTCTCAAGAATTACTCAGAACCAAGACATCCGACATTTTACATCATGCTCTTATTAATAACTCGGAAATAAGACATCTTACCAATATAACATTATGCTCTTATTATTAACCTAGGAATCAAGACATCTGACCCATATTATACCATGCTCTTATTATTGAATCGGAATCAAGACATATAACCTATTTTATAACATGCTCATTTAAATAACTCGGAACCAAGATGTCTGACCTATATTACATCATACTCTTATCAATTACTCGGAATAAAAATATCTGACGTATATTACATCATGCTCGTATTAATTACTCGGAATAAAATCATTTGACCTATCTAGACATCTGACCTAAATTATATTATTCTCTTATAAATTACTCGGAATCAAGACATCTGACGTATATTTCACCATGCTCTTATTTATTACTCGGAATCTAGTCATCTGACCTATAATTCATCATATTCTTATGAATAACTCGGAATCAAGATATCTGACCAATATATCATCATGCTCTTATTAATAACTTGGAATCAAGACATCTGACCTATATTACATCATGCTTTTATTTATTACTCGGAATCAAGACATTTGACCTATATATCATCATGCTCTTATTAATAACTTGGAATCAAGACATCTGACCTATATGTCATCATGCTCTTATTAATAATTCGGAAACAAGACATCTGACCTAAAACACATCATGCTCTTATTAATAACTCGGAATCAAAACATCTTACCTTTATCACATCATGCTCTTATAATTAACTCGGAATCAAGACATCTGACATAATATTTACTTACATCATGCTCTTATTTATAACTTGGAATCAAGACATGTCACCTATATTACATCATGCTCTAATTAAAAACTCGGAATCAAGACATCTGACATATATTACATCATGCTCTTATTAATAACATGGAATCAAGAATTTGACCTATATTTCATCATGTTGTAATTAATAACTCAGAATCAAGACATCTGACCTATATTACATCATGCTCTTATTGACTTTTGCAGACGAAAAGGTGCTACCTGCCGTAAGTTATTTACCACATCTAACTTAACGGAAAATAGCGATTCCAAGATTTGCAAATAATATTTGGCAATACGTAGACACAGATAACACGTTTTCAACAGTTTTATTTTCTAGAAGTCATAGATAATCGATATAAGTCCCCACACAGCAATCATATACAGACACCAACAGTATATTTTTTCTAGATGTTTAATGAAGAAGCATACAATATACAATAGATTTACAGTTTTCACACAATACTTGTACACCATGAACGACGAAAGTATATATTTGTCAATACATTTCATATAGAACCATACAAAACACAATTGTTTTAGAAGGTACACATACTAACCATATACTATAAAAGTATATATTTTTCTATGCATGTAATCCAGAAGCATATAATATACAATTGTTTTACAGTTTTCACACAACAATTATTCAACATGAAAGTATGTATTTGTCTAGGTATTTAACACAGAAGCATAAAATATAGTGACAATTGTTTTACAGTTTACACAATAACTATACATGATGAACGATGAAAGTTTATATTTGCCAGCACATTTGATGTAGAACCATACATAATACAATTATTCAACATGAAAGTATATATTTGTCAGCACATTTGATGTAGAACCATACATAATACAATTATTCAACATGAAAGTATATATTTGTCAGCACATTTGATGTAGAACCATACATAATACAATTATTCAACATAAAAGTATATATTTGTCAGCACATTTAATGTAGAACCATACATAATACAATTATTCAACATGAAAGTATATATTTGCCAGCACATTTGATGTAGAACCATACATAATACAATTTTTCAACATGAAAGTATATATTTGTCAGCACATTTGATGTAGAACCAAACATAATACAATTATTCAACATGAAAGTATATATTTGTCAGCACACTTGATGTAGAACCATACAAAATACTATTATTCAACATAAAAGTATATATTTGTCAGCACATTTAATGTAGAACCATACATAATACAATTATTCAACATGAAAGTATATATTTGCCAGCATATTTGATGTAGAACCATACATAATACAATTTTTCAACATGAAAGTATATATTTGTCAGCACATTTGATGTAGAACCATACATAATACAATTATTCAACATAAAAGTATATATTTGTCAGCACACTTGATGTAGAACCATACAAAATACTATTATTCAACATGAAAGTATATATTTGTCAGCACATTTAATGTAGAACCATACATAATACAATTATTCAACATGAAAGTATATATTTGTCAGCACATTTGATGAAAAAACATACATAATACAATTATTCAACATGAAAGTATTTATTTGTCAGCACATTTGATGTAGAAACATATAAACAGGAGCTGTGGGTAGGACAGCAACGCTCGACAATTCTAAGTGCTTGATAGCAAAAGAGTGTTGATAATTAAAAGTTTTTTAAGCTCACAAAATGGCTATTTTTTAAAATCCATGTTACAGACCTTGGAGAGAGTCCTATTATGCTCACAAAGAAGTGTATAAAATTTCAACATTTTTCAAAGCAAGATGTCAATGAAAATGAAAATATCTGAGGTGATACGCAAACTTAAATGTAAATTCTAAGTTGATAAAGGGGAATAATTCTGTCAAAATGCTTGATACAGTTACCTCCTCCTGTCTACAGGTTGGGTTATGATGGTTAACAAGTGTGCAAAGTTTCAAAGCCATATGTCAATGGACTTTGAAAATATTTGAAGTATTAAAGCTTTAACAGAAGTGGTTACGCCGACCCAAACGCTCAGGTGACTACAATAGCTCTATTTATTCTTATGATATACAATTGTTATACATTTTTATTTGTAGAAAACACAAAAAACCATGTGTTGAATATAAAATATGACAATGCCTCCAGCTTTTCATTAAAAATAGTTTAAAAAATTAAAAAATTCTAACAGAATAAAAAATACATTTAAACAAACACAAAATGTTTGATTTACAAAAAAAAAGAAATGTTTGATTTTTTGTCATTTCGTTTTGTAACGTGATTACCTGCTGAAAAAGGATTAAATTTTGTCTCATAAGGATACTATACTGATTATATGATGTCCTGTTATTTTATGATGTAACATAGTTATATTCGGTGACGTGATTATATGATGTCACGTTATTTTATGATGTAACATAGTTATATTCGGTGACGTGATTTAATGTTGAAACGTGATAATATGCTGTCACATGATAATATGCTGCCACGTGGTTATATGCTATCTGTGATGCTTAGTCACCAATCTGTTAACTGAAAATAGCTGAAAATGTAAATGATCTACAGCATACGTCAATCAGAGATAAAACTTTTATTAAACCATGCCTGATACAAAAAAACCTGATAATTAAAAAAATGTTCTTTTGAGTACGACCATTCCATTCTTTGAATTTATGAAATCTTCTTTTGATTACTTATCTTATTTTCTTCTTATCATCATTGATGATGTTCTCAATGAATAAAGGCCATCAACCCCATAATGGATGTGTCCACACCAACCTCTAGCGGCACCGGAAAAATTACATTCTGTGCCTGGCGACGCATAGTATCCATTTAGATTGACATAAGTACATCCATGATACCACCAGGCTCCATGGTAAAACTCGGCGCAGTCTCTATCTTTTATGTCAATGTCAAGATCACGGTCGTAAGTTGAAAATTGCATTCGATTATTATAGGCAAGGGAGTTTTTATCTAGAAATAAAAAGACAATAATAATTAGTTCTGGCACTGTCATTGTCACATTACGTCAAGACAGTTTGCATGTTGACAATCTCAAATTCCATAAACAACAAGCTACTTTCCCCACAATCATACAAAACACATCATCCGGTCCATCGCAGATGTTACACATAATTGTTATATATTATGGCAAAGCAGGTCCAATATCAGGCCAGTATAACTACAAGCATTTGCCATTTAGCTTGGTAGTTTTCTAAACCAGTCAGTGGGAAAATTTGCTCTATCAGAGACCAGGTTAATTAGTCAGCGACTGAATGTAGAACATTATGATAAGCGTTATATTGTGCAAATTTACTGCTTTTTTCTAAAATACATTTAAATTATCATAATATTATGTATAAACGAACACTCAAAGATGATCTCTTAATTGACAGTATAGCAAAATTTAATATTCTATATCAAGCAAAATTTTGCAACATTAAAAATTCAGACATGAATTGGTTCTGCTATAAATAAGATAGGAAATGCCAGTCTGATTATTATAATATTCTTTTGTTATTGTAATATTGTCGTCTTTTATTTGTTTAAAACATGTTTAATTTAAAGAAACTGTACGCCAATGAAACGAATAACATAAGAAAAGAATTATGGTTTCAAAACATGTAATTAATAATGATTTTAACCTGACGAAAGTAGCGTTAAATGTGAAATTATTTGTCATTGACCTTTTCGAAAACCTAGCTAAACACCGTTTTACGGTACGCTACGGATTAAGCTCTGAAGAATTACACTAAATACACTTACATAACATTATTACATGATATGTCTATCTTTCAAACATTTTTTACTGTTGAAGGCAAAAAAACTGATGTGTTTGAAAATTATCAATGCTCCTTTGAAATATATTGCAATTTTTTCCCAAAAAAAGTTAATTATGAAAATCAATAAAATTAAAAAAGTAGTGGCATCTTCCACAATAAAAAAGAGATATTTTCTGCAGAAACTTGTGTTTCAACTTTTTTGTATGAAATTATTCATACAATGATATTTAATCATTTTCTTACAAAAAAATAACTGTTTTATTTCACTTTTTAAAAAAAAGACCAAAAACAATGAGTTCGTTATTACACTCCACTCCATTCGGTGAATTCCCTGAGCTATGTACAGAAAGTACTGGAAAACGGCGCTAAGCTAGATTTGCGAATTCGTGAATAGACATAGACACAAAATATAGACAAGGTAATATTCTGACTTAAATACAAAATTATAAACCACTATATCTGTACTAATTGCCAAAAACCAACAGATGAAACAGATGGTTCATGTTATCAGCGAATGACTCGTGTTTTTGGGAAAAAATATAAAGCTTTTGAGAAACAAAAATTAAAACATTTTTAGGCAATATTTACCTTTAAAAAGAGTAAAATCTATGTAACATCGCAAGTGAAACATTGTGTCAAATAGTCGTGAGAGATTCTGTTTACTAGTCTAAATTTTTCTATGAAAAATTGAGATTATTTGTGCCTCATACTTTAACTGCTCTCAACAACTTACTTTATATTGGTTTTAATGCTGTTGTGCTTTCATTTAGCTAAACGAACAAAATAAATAAGAAGAGAAGAGAAAAACTGTCAGCATGAATTACATTTCATTCCAGAACGTGTGCATGACCCAATGGTTAGGGTATAATTTGTCCCTTCTGTTAACATGAAGTCTGGACAAGTTTCATGTCCTGTTGAACTATCATTTCTTGTCATATCAAGACGAATATCTGTAGAACCTTGTTCAGCTAGTTCTTGTAGATACTTTAAACCTGCGAAAATATATCAAATATAAATATAAATTTACCAAGATTTTTAGTAGAATTCAGTCTTCAACATTTCATATTACAAAACTACAAACCGTTACAATTATTATAACATTGCGTTCTATTTAGGGACATTTAAACCTGCTAGGTTGCCTGCATTAAACTTTAACATTTTATGTTGATCAATATACTTCAACAACTTCTGCTTATTAAAACACGTCAGCAACTTAAAATGTTTATCAATACACTTTAACAACTATGTTTATTAATAAACTTCAACAACTAACGTTTTAAATTATCTATACATTTCAACAATTTAAAATGTGTATAAATACACTTGAACAATTTAATATGTTTATCAATAAACCGTTACAATTTATGTTTATCAAAATACTTCAACAACATATGCTTATCAATAGACTTCACAACTTAACATTTTTATCAAAACACTTCAACAACTTATATAAGCCATGCATTACGGTCAACAAGAAATATTCTAAGTGTATTCGCTAATTAAACTATTTGTTTACTCTAAGCAAAATATTTGTTCAATCATATCGAAACCCATCTTCATGTTACGCTTGCAACATATGCCAAATGTTTTATTTAATTGCGGTGATGTTGTACCTTAGATGACTAAGCAAAAACTGTACTACAATTGTTTTAAAATGTCAGTGCTACAAGGAATAAAATATTTTTTTTCAAACCTAGCCACAACTCTCCATCAACGTTCCCAAAGCCATTCTCATACTCTGTGAAGGTTCGATAAAATTCCACTGACCCGTCCAATCGCCTATGAAATATCTAGAAAAAACAGTTTGGGTGCTTTCGAATTATGTATATAATTATTTCTTAAATTATATTAAGTGTTTGTCTTTTTAACGTCAGTTTTATACAGCTGAGCGTTATATTTCACTTAAAATGGAAAGATTGACAAAAGTCCTAAATCTTTAATTTGCTGTCAGGAAGAGACCTTTTGTACTTCTTATCATTTACCTGGCCAATTGACTCATTAAATTGGTCAATACGTGGTTGTTAAAAAGTTTACTTTCCTGTAGATACTGCAATCATTTTACAATGAAATGATAAGATATAATATACCAAGCAACCAGACTATAATTGAATGCGAATGAAAGGAATAAATTATATGTTAGATCGGTAATATTGTTATTTCTAACACGACCAGCATTTTTCCTTATTGAATAGAGAAGAACCGAAAGTGTGAGTTATTATGCAATAAAATCACTGTTGATGTTCTATATTTAGATATGTGACGTAACCATTATACATGTGACATAACCACTAAAAGGTCCGACGCGCTGAAAATAAGTACGAAAACAAATCAGGCGCATTTTTGCTTAATATCAGGTACGACAGCATTTATTTGTTGATGTCGTGTTAAAATCAAAATTATAAATCCAAATTGTTGATTTTCTCGCTTGATGGCATCACGATGTGTCCCTCGTGATATAATTCCTCGCATCCGAACTCCAAACAGTGGTGTTATTGAGCGATAAAATCACTTTTTGGGATCTTTATTTCTTAATTATACGAGTATTCAAACCAACAAACAATAAGAGGATATGTTTTCGTTTAAGTTAAAAATATGGAATATATTTTCACGAAACATGATAAAATGCAACATATTTCACGAAAAACGAAACAAAACCCTATTAATTTAATTTCATTATCAAAGAAAAATGGTAACCCCCTTGCTCTTTAAACGTATGTACAGCGTTAATGACTGAATTTTACAAACAAAATGGCGAAAGAAGTCCTTTAAAATAAATATGAGTTTTGACTGAGCCCACTTTCATATTTATATTTCATATTTATTTAAAAAAAGAAATTTGTTTGACTGATAAAGTACCATATTTCATGGGTAAAAATAAATAAACTCTGTTATAACAGCCTGAAAATGGGAATAAAATGCAATTTGATATTGACGTTTTTTTTGGCACTTTTTGACTACAAAAAAGCACATCGTGAGTTAAATGGGTGTTATCACGTGAGTATGTGAATCAGGAAAGAACAATTTGCTAATCAAACATTGGAATAAAAGAATCTACATACCGTCCAGCCACCGCCATCTGTTTCCATGTCACAATTCACAGTCAAAATCTTCCCAGATGTCCAGAGTTTTATTTCATATTGTCCACTTCTCGCCTCAGGAATCTTATCAATGACTTCTTTACAATCACTTGGTGCTAGGCAAAGGTCAAAACAGTATTTGATAATGATTCAAGAAAGTGTTTTCACCAATTACTTCATAAATTGTGTAAATAAAATCAACAAAAGAAACGTTTATCTATTGTATACTTTTTTCATAATGTTTGTACATAGTTGGATAATCTTACCACATCTAAGATCTTTTATGACGTAATAAAATATGATAAATTATTTATCTATATAATGTCAGGTCTCAGATTAGTGTGTGCAATTAGTCAACACATTATGTTTTATATTTTTCATGATATTTTCCTTTCCAGAATATTAACTAATTATAAGTGTGTTTAGTAAATGTGCATTGCATGATGCAAATTTGCTTCCAAAGAAAACATTAATGCAAAGTGATGTAAATTATAAAAAGATCTATTTAAAGGTAAGGTAATTGAGTAGGCCTACGACTCTCTTGTTTTGTAGAAATGAAGGCGTTATTAAAAAAATCTTTAACCTACCTCTAAATAAAGAGAACCGGCAGGAAAACTATCTTCAAAGACTATTATTTTATTTCTTTATAATAACACATTGTATAAAATACAATATTAATATAAATATATGCTTAAATAGGCAAAAGGAAAAGTCATTTATCCTCTAATTATGTTATCTCAAATTAATAATAATTAACATAATAAATAACATGTCATTTGAAAGATACTGTATTAATTCTAAAGCAATTATAGTACAAATATACCTTTTTTAAAATATTAACAACTTCCGAACAACATAGTCAATAGCTTGATCAATATACAAGAATGTAATTGTCTAAAAGACATCATCCAATCTATCCTCTATTTTGTTTGTGTATATATAAGAACATTTGGATAATAAAATATTCAATTATTTGCAAATCACATAAAGTGCCAAAATAATGTTTTGAAAGACCATCTCAACTTTTATTATACCGTCATGGTTAAATTGGATGATGTATCAAGGTAGAACATCCCTAATTGGTACTATAAGGAAATGGAAAAATTGACAACATAGGACAATTATATGCCTTAAACGTCACTTGTATGCAAGATTTATACAAAATTTACCGTGTGGACATATTTCTGAAATAAAACTTTACTATTAGAAGGGCCTTTTCTCAGAAATGAGGAAACTCTAAATAAACTATATAATCATCATTATGAAAAATATTTTCCTATTGGTCATTGTTAAGACAAAAATAATAACATTCAGTTAACAGATTAAAACAACAGAATGATTGTTTCTAAACAAAATGTTTCATATTCATTATGTATGTAATTGTAACCCTACCAACACAGTTCAAATACTTATTTGATCATTTACCTTTATAAAAAAGCCTTAATCAAAACATCCCTCAACTTTACAACAATGAGGGGTTGTTTTCAAAGTTTGCCCAATTATTCTTAAAGGTATATTGGTTGGTCTTGCGAAATATAAGATATGTTTACGTGTAGTTTTTATTTGATTAAACTTTGAAAATATCTGATATGATATTTGATATTGAATTTGCCATTATTGTGCAAATAAATACCTACAATCATTATATAATTAAAATCAAACATTTGTTCATCCATAGGGGATCTGAGAGATGCATAAAAATTTTTAAAAGAAAAAAAGGAAAGAAAAAAAGTTGCCCATCCAGGGGTTTGAAGTGGAGATAATTCATTAATGATAATGCATTATACTACCTTAAGACAAGAAAAGAACAGCAACATTTTAAAACATTACAGTCAATTTATTTAACCAATAATATTTTAATACGTTACATTTACACGTTGCAGGCTGCCATTTTCCTGATGCCTCACATTTCACCTCTTGTTGACTAGGAACATATCCTTTGTCACATGTAACTAGAGCTACATCGAGGAACTTGTTTTCACTAGGCGTACGAATCTGTACTTTACCATTTTCAATTTTCAGATCCGAAGCACATGCTGGAAAGGATAATAATAATAATAATAATAATAATAATAATAATAATAAAAATAATAATGCATTTCCTAAATCATAGTTAATACTTTACAAAATAATTTTTAATAAAAGGCCAATATCTGAATGATCATTTTTTGAAAATCTAACGATTTAGGTGCAAATCGTGATCAAGTATCCTATTTTATATCTATGTGAACATAATTATAGTTTCTTGCTGGCAAATGTGCTACGTGTATAATGCGTTTTATTTTTCTATTATTTTGTTATTGTTTCGTTTGTTAATCTTATTCGATGTACTTAAAAGCGTTTCAATGCTTTTCACTCAAATAAGGCTAAGAAAATACGATTTTTGCTTAATGTCTGAGTATAATTGTTAACTATCATTTGTATGTCTTTCTGTTTTAAGTGCTCCAGTTGATCTACATAAGAAATTCTAATTTTATGATTTTTAGACTTTTGGACATCAGTGGAGTTCCTTCAATACGCAAAAGTATCAGTAGGGCGGATTTCAGAAATGTCCTCTACCTACTATAGATCATTCTTTTGCACATGTCTTTAAGGACTATACTTTTTAGAACATGACATCAATCAAAAATTATTGCGTAAATATTTCTTGAAATATTATAGAACATTTAATTCAATAACAAATAAGTGTAAAAATAAAAGTTTTTACACACATGTACTTATGTCTTTGCACACATGTGAAGCACCATTTTGGTAACACCTTTGGTTCGCTTTACACGGCCTTGAGCCACAACTTCCAACCATTCTCTATAAATAGTATGTATGTATTGTTGAATTACAAGAACTATTAAATGTGTATTTTCTGAATGAGACACGATTAGGTAAGCTTATGATTTTTCTTATGATTTTATTTTATTGGCAATGAGTGAAAGAGAAACTTCTGAGATGATTCCTCGAAATTTTATCATTTGCACAATAAAATGTAAGTTATGAAAATATCATTACCATTACAAGCATGAGAAAAAAATGCATATGTCATTATACACCTCAAATGTTAGAGAGTATAAAATGTTGTGTCATTTCCGTTTCCAACAGTTGTACATATCGTATCAATTAATAAATTGAGATACTTACGCTAGGCCATTCGCTGATATCAGAGAATATAGAGCCTCGCTTTGTTTCAAACTCCGACGGATCAACGGACGACTGGTCAACATCGTTTAATTTACACACGTGCTCGTTTCTGTCAAAGTCGAACGATTTACAGACGGACATTGACATACAGGTTCGCGCACAATCGTGATGGTTTTTATCATTAACTTCTAACACGGAATGACCGATCAAAGCTTTATTAAGATTGTCCTTGCTTATTTCAAATGAATTGCATTTGTTTGAGTAAACTGTTCCGAATAAGACAGCGTTAATTATTATAATTCCAGCAGTCAAAGCCATCGTATTAAAAGTAAAATATTTTTGTTATTTGCCACAGCTATATAAAATGAAATCAAACAACGACCGTATCTGAAAGCGCAGAACAATCCCGTCTCTATGGTATGATTCATGTGCGCTATATTTACGAGTAAGGCTGGTTAGCATCAAATGCATGAAACATGCCCTTGTTATTGATCATAGGTGAATCGTCCAATCAAAAAACAATCGTATGTTTCGTGTGTTTATAATTCATTAAATGCATAACAACCAAGTATTTGGTTTGGTTTACATCCCCAGAATTTTCACAAACTTTTCTATCTTGAAGCATTGATATATAACCGTGAATAAAACCTGAAAAACGGTTGTAACGAAGTAGTTTGACACCCACTTTTGACAATCGGTCATTACATTAAAAACAATATTGACTTCCCGTTGAATTACATTCTTAAATATTATGACCTCCTCACACAATGAATGACATCGCCAAGGTAGCCATTATGTACATTAACGAGATGTCAATTAAGGTTTGTTTTAAAAAATGAATCGGGCAAAAATATTTCAAAATTGCTCAACAGAATGCATGCCTTATAGGTAAAATAGATTCTAAGGCTAACCATGATATATACACAACAACAACAACAACAACAACAGTAACGACAAGTACACAAATTGGAACCAAAATAATAAGAACACACGGAAACCAATGAGAAACCTGTAGGGACATTTCAACTTCATGAATTCTCGATTTCATTTTTCTAGATCTTGTTTTGAGCATTTTCAACTTTACGAATTCACATTTTGAAATTTTTGAATTCACGATTTCAACTTCATTAATTTATAAATTTAAAACAAATTAAACTTCGCGAATTTCACTTCACGATTTAAATTTAACGAATTCACTATTTCAACTTCACGATGTCAGGTTTGAACATCATGAACTCACGTTTTTAACGTCTAGAATTCACGTTTTCATCTTCACCAAATTATGATTTCATCTTCACTAATTCAAGATTTCATCTTCACGAATTCACGATTTCAACGTCATGAATTCAAAATTTCAACTTCACGAATTCACAATTTCAAGTTCTTGAATTCATAAATTTAAAACAAATTTAACTTCACGAATTCAATTTAACGAATTCACGTTAGACAAGAGTTTGCTAATGCAAAATCAATTTTAACAAGATCAAAAGTATACAACTCGTATAATTAAAAAGAGAAAACCAATAATTAATATTTTAAGCAAATCTGAGCCTCCTCAATTTCGGAAAAGAATTAAAGAACAATACTCTTAATCTCAGCCAACTGCAGAAATTCTGTCTTAACGATATTGATGACTTATATTTTTTTTTCAAAAGCTAATATTGTTCAGATAATACACTTTGATCGATGGGGAACTCAGTGGTTATTATGACAAAGACCCTGATTGTAAAATAATTCTGTCAAAAACAAAAGAAGCGATCTATTCACAAAATGATAATAAAAGTAGTGGCACTGATAAACTGATCGCGGAAATATGCAAACACTCATTTCCATTTATTTCACAGATATTCATACATTATAAAACAGATTTGTTGAATCTTTAGAAATCCCAATATCCTTGGGGTCAGGAATCATAGTACCAATTTTCAAGGGAGGGGACATTAATGAAGCAAAAAATACAGAGGGATAACACTTATAAATATATTCTCAAGTCTTATTAAATCGTCAACAAAATGGTGTACCAAATAAAACAAAATCATTGATAATCAATACATGCTATATGGATTCGAAGGGAATATCAACAGTCAACTGTATTTTTCTTCTACAAACTATTATTAATAAGACATTGTGCTCTCGTAAAATGCTATACTGTGCATTCATAGATTTTAAAAAATTGTTTTGAGAAGTAAGGAAGATCATTTATATTTCAAAAACTTGTTGTTTTTGGATCAAACATCAGCGCAAAACAGGGAGACAGCTCTTGTCTATGATTTTTATTCTTTGTAAATTATATGTTAACCAGTTTTGACAATAATAATGGCGACATTTTTACTGTCGATGAAATAAAATTGTTCATACTCCTTCGCCGGAAACGCTACATTCATTACTAAATGAATTTCAAAATTATTGCAATAGTTGGAATTTAAAGGTTAACACTAACAAAACAAATCCGTGATTTTCGAACAAGGTCGTCATACTACATAAACTTATCTTTTTAATAGTATCCCACTTGAAGTAGTGGCATCATTCAAATGTCTAGGAATTATTTTATTCAAAAACGGTCACATCAATAGTACACAAAAGAAGCTTGCTCAACATTCGTTATTTGTTGTACATAATAACTTTGTTGTTTTTAATCAAATAGACCTATCTACACAGGACAAATGTAAACTATTTTATTCTTTTGGTGAGATCAATTCTAAATTATGGCGCTGAAATGAGGCAACAACGAGGGTAAAGATATTGAGCGAATACATAGTAAATTTTTAAGAACAACACTTAGCGTTAAAAATTAGCTAATCTATCTGGTCTCTACGTCGAACTGTGACGGTATCCGATGAGAATACAACGCAAAATTATTACGATAAAATATTTTTTAAACATTTTGAACTCAGAAGATAATTCATAAATAAGAAAAATGTATAATGTAATGAAATACCATGTCAATAATAACATATCGTATAACGGGGGAAAATGGCCATATCATATACAAAAAAATACTTGACGAAATATGTTTTTCCTTTCTATGGCTATAGCAAAACGAAATCAATATATCATTTCAAATTGTAATGAATACATATTAGATAAATATAAACAAACTTGGTATTCAGAAATAAATAATTCAAGTAGATTACAAACATACAGTATGTATAAGTATGACCTCGAACTTGAAAAATACTTAAATCGTGTAAGTATAAACAAATACAGAGTACAACTGATGCAATTTCGGTTGTTCCAATGTTAACAATGCAATATGCATGGCATGTTGCAACCACTATTGAAATAAAACCACTATTGAAATAAATTATTTCAATAGTGGTTGGGAATGCATTTCATTAGAAAAATCACTTTGCAACTACTATTGAAATAAAACCATTATTGAAATAAATTATTTCAATAGTGGTTGGGGATTATTTCATTTGAAGAATCACTTTACAACCACTATTGAAATACAACTACTATCGAAGTAATTATATCAATAGTAGTTGGGGATGCATTTCATTTTAAGAGTCACTTTACAGACACTTTTAAAGACTAATGTTTCATTATTTATTTTTTATTGTAGACGAGAATTAACCTTTTAGAAATATTACTTTGTTATTACTATTGTAACGCAAGAAACACTTTATCTAACGAACAATATCAGATATAAAAAGTGGGTATTATACTTGCATATTTTACGGTATTAGTAATCAAGACTAAAAGGAAATATGGTATAATGTTACAATTTTCACGGGTGTGCAAAAATATATAACCAATTCACGCAAATTAAAATGCAAATAAAAGGTATTAAAGACTTATATTTTACAGTAGTTATAACCGAGACTATGAATTTAACGTACCTCTTTTCGGATTTTTTACTGTTGTGCAGAAATTAAAAAAATCTCGTAGAATGATGTATAGAATTGTTTTCATATTCTTTTCTTTACCTTTTTCTTTCTATTGATATAAAATGTGAAAACCGTAAATTATTTGTACAAGAATTAACACATTGGAAATTACCGGAACTTCAACTCAAACCCCCTGTATATTAAAATAAATCAATTAAGGATACATGTAATTATAAACATCACTATTAAGATAAATTATTTCAATAGTGGTTAGTGATGAATTTTATTACGACCACTATTGAAATAAATTATTTCAATAGTGGTTAAGGACGCGTTTCATTACAACCACTATTGAAATAAGTTATTTCAATAGTGGTTAGGGAGGCGTTTCATTACAACCACTATTGAAATAAGTTATTTCAATAGTGGTTAGGGAGGCGTTTCATAACAACCACTATTGAAATAATTTATTTAAATAGTGATTAAGGATTCGTTTCATTACAACTACTATTGAAATAAACTATTTCAAAAGTGGTAGGAATGCATGTCATTTTTATGCCTATTATTCCGTCTGCGTATAGCTTTGTCAGTTCCAGATGACAGGTGGTATGGAAAGCATGACCATATAAAGGTAAATCATGATTAAAAAGGAATTTATCATATCATAAGACATACTTCATATCTGAAAAAACTCCCCTAGCAGAAAGGAAAGTGCTACAAATAGACATAATAATAGACATAAAACTGATATGCATCATCAATCACTATCGAAATACTTTTTTTAATAGTGGTTGAAATGAAAGGTATCCCTAACCTCTATTGAAATAATTTATTTCAATAGTGGTTGAAATGAAAAGCATCCTTAACCACTATTGAAATAATATATTCAAATAGTTGTCGTAATGACGTACATCCCTAACCACTATTGAAATAATTTATCTCAATAGTAATATTTATAATAATATTTATCAATAAATAATGATTCATTATACAGTGTTGAAGTACATATTGTATACTATTAAAATTATTTTTCAATCGTAGCTTAGAATGAATATCTTTATAAGTATTACTTTGAAAATTTATATTTTTTTTCTTTACGTTTCTCTTTTTACAGACATATCATGTTCTATGAATATTGTATATTACATGTATTTAAATGATAGTGAACATATTGTCAATTGCCAGAACTTCTATTCAAACCCCCTGTATAATGAATCATTATTTATTGATAAATATTATTATAAATATTACTATTGAGATAAATTATTTCAATAGTGGTTAGGGTTGTACGTCATTACGACAACTATTTGAATATATTATTTCAATAGTGGTTAAGGATGCGTTTCATTTCAACCACTATTGAAATAAATTATTTCAATAGAGGTTAGGAATACCTTTCATTTCAACCACTATTAAAAAAAGTATTTCAATAGTGATTGATGATGCATATCAGTTTTATGTCTATTATTATGTCTATTTGTAGCACTTTCCTTTCTGCTAGGGGAGTTTTTTCAGATATGAAGTATGTCTTATGATATGATAAATTCCTTTTTAATCATGATTTACCTTTATATGGTCATGCTTTCCATACCACCTGTCATCTGGAACTGACAAAGCTATACGCAGACGGAATAATAGGCATAAAAATGACATGCATTCCTACCACTTTTGAAATAGTTTATTTCAATAGTAGTTGTAATGAAACGGATCCTTAACCATTATTTAAATAAATTATTTCAATAGTGGTTGTTATGAAACGCCTCCCTAACCACTATTGAAATAACTTATTTCAATAGTGGTTGTAATGAAACGCCTCCCTAACCACTATTGAAATAACTTATTTCAATAGTGGTTGTAATGAAACGCGTCCTTAACCACTATTGAAATAATTTATTTCAATAGTGGTCGTAATAAAATTCATCACTAACCACTATTGAAATAATTTATTTCAATAGTGGTCGTAATAAAATTCATCACTAACCACTATTGAAATAATTTATCTTAATAGTGATGTTTATAATTACATGTATCCTTAATTGATTTATTTTAATATACAGGGGGTTTGAGTTGAAGTTCCGGTAATTTCCAATGTGTTAATTCTTGTACAAATAATTTACGATTTTCACATTATATATCAATAGAAAGAAAAAGGTAAAGAAAAGAATATGAAAATAATTCTATACATCATTCTACGAGATTTTTTTTATTTCTGCACAA